TATCTATCTATCTATCTATCTATCTATCTATCTCAATTTGATCATTATCTATCTATCTATCTATCTATCTATCTATCTATCTATCTATCTATCTATCTAACCAACCAATCAACGAAAGGCACAAAGTGACTAGGTTCAAATGGTTATTCCGAGTTTCTCGCAGATCGATCGTCAAACGGTAAAAACTGTTCTTGTCTAATGTCGATCGTCTGACGAGTAATGGTTTGAACCTAGTCTCTTTGTGCTATTTCGTTGGTTAGTGTTACTGTTCAGTCTTTGTCTATTTGCTAGAGTCATTGAGCACATTGGTTACTGCCGCGGTAGGTATCCATCTTTCCTTTACCATTTTTTCCTTTCCCTTGTTTTGTAGTTGCTTTTCGGTTATTTGCTCTTAGGGTTTTTTTTTTTGTGTTTGGTCCCAAATTTATCAGTTTGGTCGCCTTTGTGCTGCTAGTGTTGGACTGGAAAGCTTTACCAATATTTTGGTTTCTTTTATCTATCTATCTATCTATCTATCTATCTATCTATCTATCTATCTATCTAAATTATCTGTTTATGAAGGTCAAAAGGTGGGGAATTGTTCTATGTCGCTTTATACATGCGGAAGGTCCAGCAGACTGCTTGTCTAAATTTCAAATCAACAATGGGAATTCTGGCTTTTATGGGTGTTTGAAACAATGGCTATAATAGGGTAACGTAATTATATCAGTCGTGAAACAAGATCATAAATCATTTAGATGCTGAGATAAAGATTTAAACTGAATTCAGACTTAGAGTAGTCACCCCTTGCTAATCACTGGCTATAAACATCCGGTGTACCTGAAATATTTTAAAAGAAATGTATATAAGACTCTCATTAGAATATAGTGTCAAAAGCTCACAACGTTAGGCGTTGTTGCTATGGTTTCAGTAACTTGTTGTTTTTTTTTTTGTTTTTTTCGTGACGGAGTCGCTAGCTTCATATCTAACTAACTGGATTTGAGGTTGTCTTTCTACTAGTCGCATCTATCTATCTATCTATCTATCTATCTATCTATCTCAATCTGTTCCTATCTATCTATCTATCTATCTATTTTAATCTGCATCTAAAGATCTATTGTAATCTGATCCTATCTATGTATCTATTCATCTATCTTATTCTACATGTATCTATCTATTTTAATCTATTAGCAGGCACTGTGGAGTAATGGATAGCGGCTTGGATTGAGGAATCGGAGAGCCGAGTTCGAATTCCAGTCGAATCCATTATATTCACTTACGTGGGAAAGGTGTGAATCCTCTTTCTTCTCCCTCCAGCTATGGGTAAATAGCAGGACAGACTGGGTTCTATAGCCTTGGATGGCAACTGGTCTAGGAGAAGGAAAACTCAGAATTCAAAACCTGTGGAGGGTGAATGGAGTCTCTCTGAGCCTTGGTTGGCAATCCATTTAGTGTTGGTGTCACGATAAAAACACCCTTGATAGCCCTAGCGAAGCATCAAGAATTCAGCTATTTGATAAGATTATGAACTACACCAATCAAAGTATTCAATCTGTTTCTATCTATCTTAATCAGCATCTATGTATCTATTGTAATCTGATCATATCTATCTATGTAGCTTATCCATCTATTTTAATCTACATCTATGTATCTATGTATTTTAATCTACATCTATGTATCTATCTATTTTAATCTGCTCATATCTATCTATCTATCTATCTATCTATCTATCTATCTATCTAAACAATAATTGCACCTATTGATAAACAAAAACTTATATAATTTCAAGTACGTCAAGTCGAAGATGAAGTTTTACAAAACGTGCTCAACAATTACTTCGAAGAATAATAAACTATTCTTCATACTTCTTATTACTAAATATTTTAAATGGTAACAACTAAAGGAGATAAATTCAGTATATGATTATTTATTTACCTATCGATTTACTTACCTATCTCAATTGTTTAATCTATCTATCTATCTATCTATCTATCCCTTGAAATCTGTTTTCACTCCATGTCTGTCTGTCTGTCTGTCTGTCTGTCTCTATCTATCTATTTATCTATCTATCTATCTATCTATCTATCTATCTATTCCTTCTTATGTATGTATGTATGTATCTCTATCTCTCTCTCTTTCTCTCTCTCTTTCTATCTATCTATCTATGTGTGTATATGTGCGGGAGCATTTATCTATGTATGTGTCCCTGTGTCTGTGTCTGTGTGTGCGCGCGGTGGAGATTTTATCTATCTATCTATCTATCTATCTATCTATCTATCTATCTATCTATCTATCTATCAGTTCCTTGAAATCTATTAATACCTTGAAATCTATCTATCTATCTATCTATCTATCTATCTATCTATCTATCTATCTATCTATCTATATATGTGCGGGAGCTTTTGTTTGTTTGTCAGTTTGTAATGTGCGTATGCGCGTTTATAGATATTTTATTTTACTGGTGATCAGAGATTTTACAAGCTTCCGCATTACCCGCTTTCTTTTGTCTCGATGGGAATAATCTATTTTAAAAATCTAAACACATCCTCCCTGCCTAGGTCGTTGCAGATTTTTACGGAACCCAGAGGCGTTGGTTGTTTACAGGGTAAGACGATTGCATGCAGCTAATTCTCCCGTGGGAATTCAGGGTGTCTGCCAGAAAATCTGAAATCCCAGCCAGGGTTACTCGACATCGAAAATCAATTAATGGCGATGTAGTATCAACATGCTGGCTGTCGACGGATGTAACACTGGTTCACTTGAAGAGATTTAGATTTGCAAGAAGGCACAGTGGGCCAGCCTCAATAAGCCACGCCTTCAAAGAAGACCAGTCGGGCGGGTTCTAGCTGTAATGGCTTGTACCAGTTGAATCTGAAAATAGTGATAGAGAATGGAGTAGCGATGGGTTTGGTTTGGTTTGGTTGGTTTTACGCTATATCAACCTCAATGGGTTATATAATGGCTTGGTTGAGTTTGGTTGGTTTTACGCCATATCAACCTCAATGGGTTATATAATGGTTTGGTTGAGTTTGGTTGGTTTTACTCCATATCAACCTCAATGGGTTATTTAATGGTTTGGTTGGTTTTACGCCATATCAACCTCAATGGGTCATTTAATGGTTTGGTTGGTTTTACGCCATATCAATCTCAATGGGTTATTTAATGGTTTGGTTGAGTTTGGTTGGTTTTACCCCATATCAACCTCAATGGGTTATTTAATGGTTTGGTTGGTTTTACGCCATATCAACCTCAATGGGTTATATAATGGTTTGGTTGAGTTTGGTTGGTTTTACCCCATATCAACCTCAATGGGTTATTTAATGGTTTGGTTGGTTTTACGCCATATCAACGTAATGGTTTATTTAATGGTTTGGTTGAGTTTGGTTGGTTTTACTCCATATCAACCTCAATGGGTTATTCAATGGTTTGGTTGGTTTTACGCCATATCAACCTCAATGGGTTATATAATGGTTTGGTTGAGTTTGGTTGGTTTTACGCCATATCAATCTCAATGGGTTATTTAATGGTTTGGTTTGGTTTGGTTGGTTTTACGCCATATCTATCTCAATGGGTTATATAATGGTTTGGTTGAGTTTGGTTGGTTTTACCCCATATCAACCTCAATGGGTTATTTAATGGTTTGGTTGGTTTTACGCCATATCAACCTCAATGGGTTATATAATGGTTTGGTTGAGTTTTGGTTGGTTTTATATCAACCTCAATGGGTTATTTAATGGTTTGGTTGGTTTTACGTCATATCAACCTCAATGGGTTATATAATGGTTTGGTTGAGTTTGGTTGGTTTTACCCCATATCAACCTCAATGGGTTATTTAATGGTTTGGTTGGTTTTACGCCATATTAACCTCAATGGGTTATATAATGGTTTGGTTGGTTTTACCCCATCTCAACCTCAATGGGTTATTTAATGGTTTGGTTGGTTTTACGCCATATCAACCTCAATGGGTTATATAATGGTTTGGTTGAGTTTGGTTGGTTTTACGCCATATCAATCTCAATGGGTTATATAATGGTTTGGTTGAGTTTGGTTGGTTTTACGCCATATCAACCTCAATGGGTTATATAATGGTTTGGTTGAGTTTGGTTGGTTTTACTCCATATCAACCTCAATGGGTTATTTAATGGTTTGGTTGGTTTTACGCCATATCAACCTCAATGGGTTATTTACTGGTTTGGTTGAGTTTGGTTGGTTTTACCCCATATCAGCCTCAATGGGTTATTTAATGGTTTGGTTGGTTTTACGCCATATCAACGTCAATGGGTTATATAATGGTTTGGTTGAGTTTGGTTGGTTTTACCCCATATCAACCTCAATGGGTTATTTAATGGTTTGGTTGGTTTTACGTCATATCAACCTCAATGGGTTATATAAAGGTTTGGTTGAGTTTGGTTGGTTTTATCCCATATCAACCTCAATTGTTTATTTAATGGTTTGGTTGGTTTTACGCCATATTAACCTCAATGGCTTATATAATGGTTTGGTTGAGTTTGGTTGGTTTTACGCCATATCAACCTCAATGGTTTATTTAATGGTTTGGTTGGTTTTACGCCATATCAACGTCAATGGGTTATATAATGGTTTGGTTGAGTTTGGTTGGTTTTACCCCATATCAACCTCAATGGGTAATCAACTAGTAATATTATTTTAAAAATGTATTGCTGATAGTATATTTTTTAAAAATATATAGCTGGTAATAGTTTTTTCTTTCCTTCAAAAATTTATTTCTGGTAATAATTTTTTTACAAAGTATTTCTAGTATTAAAACCTATTTTTACACTTTCATAATGATTTTTACCTCAGTTTCGGGGTTAAATATTTGCCCATAACTGGGACCCTAACAGGTGCTACCACTCCGGGTCTGGGTGGACCTGGGAACGCCAGCAACTAAGAGGTGGTTCCATGCTCCTCAAAACCTCCTGATTCAAGGCCTTGCTGTTGGACGTAGTTTATCGTCTTACCTAGGACGCGGATGAAGTTTGTCGTCATACCCAGGATGGAGTAGCGATGGGGCTAGCAAGGGTTTTATTAATAGTCGAAAGCAAGTTTCCACCTTGCGACCACTTTTCTTCAGATGACACGCTGAAAGATGCTCTATCGCTTCTTTTATGGCATGCTTTCTGGCGAGCCGCGTTGTTTAGTACACCAGCCTTGAGCTTTTCAACTGGACCCACCATACCACGTACATTAGGGCGAATCATTCCCATTTATTTCGTGTTTGATTAGTAAGAAGTAAGTTCAATCCGGACGGCTTATTCTCAAGAACTACTGCGTTGTGGAACATACTCCCAAGAGGATGTTTTCCAATCACGAAAACCACGGTTTGATCGTTATAATTCCTGCATAACCCCATAATCTGCTTTTTCTAACGCTAATATAACACCTCTCTAATTTGAGTAGCTCTTGGGCCTTATATTGGATAAACATTAGTATAATATATCTATCTATCTACAAGTGTAGGATTGGTGTATACAGAATAAATTCCAATAACCCAAAAATACTATATATATATATATATATATATATATATATATATATATACTATTCTGGAATCATTTTCCAACGTATTCAAGATGATCTTCGACCTCTCTAACCTTCTGTCCTGGAGTAACAAGTTGCCTCAGCGGTTTCACGCACGATTTCATTTTTAAGAAACTACTCTCCCAAGTGCCAAATATCTTATTGGTTGAGTGGGATCTTTTCTAATTGATCCCTTTAGCTCCAAGTTGAAATGATGATCCCTCTTCCTGTTGTGACCTCCTGATTCACTTTTCCTCTTTATTGTTCCCTCTTTTAAAAACTTATTCAACGTTCTTTTGAAGCTAGAGAATGAATGTTGGTACCATTACTGAAGGCCTGAATGATTTTTCCTCTCACCATTGCTCAGTTGGAAAGACAGTGGTGTTGATACAAAACGATTTTAAACTGTTCTCTTTCTAGCTGAATAACAGTTTTTTTTCACTGATTCTTGCGGCAAATGGTGAAAAGATTGCTAAGTGTCTTATCTTAAAACCTGTAAAAAAGAAACTCAGTTAGTTTAGTGTCTTTTAGTTATTAAACATTTTATGTGATGTATAATTATGCTGTTAAACCCGGTATACATACATACATATATATATATATATATATATATATATATATAAAAGAAATATAGTCTTAAGGAGTGCTATATTTATGGGATAAAGTGCTCAATATCAGAGATAGAGCGTGTGTAAATATAAAGTGAACATAGAAGTCAACACTCAGGGCGACAGTCTGTTTCATGCTAGATGCAATCGTCGTGGCCTGACGATTGCATATAGCATGAAACAGACTGTCGCCTCTAAGTGTTGACTTTATGTTCACTTTATATATATATATATATATATATATATATATATATATATATATATATATATATATATATATAATAGTAATAATCTTATATTCGTCCGAAAAACCTTGGGTACTTTAATATGTAAATAAACAGACCAATACCCAAGGAAAAAAAGGTACCAAAAAGAAAAGAACAGAGAACATGTACGTCAGCCGGAAGACAATCGTCTAGCATCCAAATTCAGAGTCCAAAGAAAAAAAAAACGATACGAGAAAGTAAAATAACTAAGTAAAGTGCTCAATACGCTAACTAGAGCAAACCTAATTAAAGCTAAAGAACAAGATAAACCTACCAAGGTTTCACCTACGCGGATCGTCAGGGAATACATAGGTGAAACCTTGGAAGTATTATCTGGCTCTTTAGGTTTAATTATATATATATATATATATATATATATATACACACACACATACACATACATATATATATATATATATATATATGCGTGTGCGTTTGTGTGAATGATACATATGTCGGTATCTCTCTGGATCTATCTTTCACTTTCTTTCTTTCTTTCTTTCTCTGTCTATCTCTCTCTCTATCTAGTTCTTTCGTTATCTATTTTTATATATAGCAAGTGAAAAGCAGCGAGTGATTTATTGGAGAGAGTCCAGAATGGACATCCAGTAGAGATTGCAAACATTCCTCCCTCCCTCCCACACTCGGTTCGTTTCTCCCTCAAATTAACAGTGAACTTTACTGCATAACCCCAAGAACATCAATTCTTGCTTTTTCTTATGCTCATATGTCACCACAGAGTAACCATCTACCTTGAGTGTCTCTTAGGCCTTGTATTGGGTGGAATTTAGTAAAAAAAAAAAGAAGAAAATGTGTTAATCTATTAACCTACCTATTGGATTTCGCCGATTTTGTTTATAATTGCAGCTACACAATCTAGTTTCCTAAACTCTTGGACCGAAACATTTCCTGAAATTCTGAATTCTTAGTATTTTGAAATGGTTCTGCAGATATTGTACAAATAAGGAAATTACGTCCATTGTTATCTGCCAAATCAATAGTAATTAGGACATGAACAACACATATAAGATTCACCAGCGGCGCGTAGAAGAAGTATTCAATTACTAGAAGTGAGTCAAAGGAATTCTGTAATGAATCTCCAATTGCAG